CCCCCGGCAGCCCCCCTACCAGCCCCCTACCCCAAAAAAAATAATTTTTTTTTACAAATACTATCAACTTCAATTTTTTATTTTTTCACTCCCACCCCCCTCACCCCTCCCCCACCCACTACCCCCCTCCACCACCCCAGAAAAATAATGATTTTGTTTTTAAAAAATATTTTCAATTTATAAATTATTTTTTACTATAATAAAAATAAAAAATGTCTCTTAAAAAAAATCCATTCATAAATCAAATACTAAAAATCATTTTCGAAAAATATTTTCTACTCACCAACCAAACATGAGAAAATAAGTCAAAAATCTACTTGTTTTTCAGAAAAACATTTTCTATGAAAAACATTTTCCTCCATACCAAACACCCTAAGTATTAATATAAACAGACTTTTATATTATGTTATATTATATATATTCTTTATAATAATATTTCGATATAACAGTAAAAAAAAAATCCAACAAACGGAAGTGTTATAGAGAAGTTGGACTTTACTACATTCTTTTTAGTAGGGTTGGTACATTTGTACGTAGCATGCATATAGCAACAAGAAGAGTGAGTGTAAGATCAATTTTTAGTCACCCAAAGGAAGCTTCTGTGCAATTTCCTTTTTATAATTTATCATGCCTTACAATTTCCAAGAAAATTCCATAGCTCACTTTATATGGGACATTACTCAAAAGTCATCTCATTTTTCCTTTTTTTACTATTAGCGTATCAACCAACCATTCTACTTACCAACAGATCGTAATGACGAATTTAAGACTTCAAAAAGTAAGTCGGATTCGTAATTAAAAATTCATTCACTTGTACGTATAATAATATTAAGCTAGCGTTTGGCCATAGATTTCTAAATATTTTTGGCAAATATTATTTGAGTGAAAATTTGGGTGAAATTTCACCATGTGTTTGGCCATAAAATTTGGAAAATATATTTCACTTTTTTAGAAAAATATGATTTATACACACAAGTTTTAAAAACTATCAAAACTAACTAAAAGTTTGTATTACAAGTCAATTGAATGTTAGTTACAACAATAACAAATAATGTCCATGACACTGAAGCAATGTGGTAATTTGGAGTGAGTGCAACAAGAATTATTCCATACATCGTGAAGTAGATAAAGTACATGACTTTGTTACCTAGCCAATTTTTAATAATTTTCATCAACAATCATATCATTATTTAATATTCACTAAATATTTCATCACTATTTTGGTGTTCACGTAAAAAATGATATCATACAACGCAAGCAAATACTAGAGAGGGTGTTTTTGTAAAAGATAAAAGATTGGGGTAAAATTTTAATTTTTAAAATATCCCAAATAATGATATTTGGCTCAAATACTAGAAAAAACTAATATTTGGAAATTTGGGATATTTGCCAAAAATATTTGTCAAATAATGACAAATTATATGGACAAACATTATTTGTCAAATTCACAATTAAATATTTATAGAAATTCAATAGATATTCTAACATATCTACAAAACATAAATATATAAACCTTGTACATACTGTCTGTCACGCCATGATAGATGTCGAAGGCAAGGCTACTAAATTTTTGTGAACCCCCATATATTGTTGGGTTTTATTTGTTTGATTTCTTACCACAAAGGGTTAAGACTCTATAAATAAAGGCATGTTTCTTCTAACTTAATCAACATTCACAATGTAATCTTAAAGGTTTTGAGAGTTTTGGTTAGGGGGAGAATTTATGAGTCACAAGCTTGATACGTTATCACTTGTGTGAACCTCCCATGTACTGTGAATGAATTGGTAGAGGTTGTTTCTCTCTGTATTTTGTACTCTCATATTTATAGTGGATTGCTCATCTCCTTTGTGGACGTAGATCGATTGATCGAACCACATTAAATCTTTGTGCCTTTTGGTAAATTTCTCGTTGTCTTCTTACTTGTGGTCTTTCGAGGTTTGAATTTGCTAACTTCCGCATATACACCTGCTTATTTTGCGGTCCTAACAGATATCCTCTATTGCCCAAGGGGCTGTTTTTTCATGTATAAATTAAATGCAAGAATTATATGCATGGTGAATATTGTTATGTGGTGGATACATATGATGAAGTTTTATGCAAATTATTTGCTTCAAGAATTTTTATTGTTGTTACTCTTATCCATATGTTTTTAATACGCGTTTTGTTACTCGAGATTCCATCTTCACCAAAAAGAAAATACATATTTTTATATAATTTATGCGGGGATTAATAACAGTAGCTAATTTGTTTATAGTATAAAATACATAAATCTCATATATACGGGGCTAATTATCTTATATATCCTAAAAGTTTTTTCAATAACAAAAATTTCTAATTTTTCATTGCTCTTAGATGGTTGTCCAATACATTGCCAATGATACATTACTTAAGTTTATGTTGCGTCGGATACATTTCTCTGCTGTCGGATACATTGTCTCTACTTTGTTGTTGCGTCCAACACATCCCTTTGATGTCGAATACATTGGCCTTTATTGATTCTGTTGCATAGAATACACTCCTCCGTTGTCGTCGGATACATTTGACTCTATAATGTTGTTGTGTCGGATAAATCCTCTATTATCGGATACATGATTATGAACATGATTTATAATGGGAGAAATGTATCTGAAAGGGGATAAGGACTCATATTGAATTATTATATAATAAAACAAACGCCCACTTATACATTTTGAAAGTACAATTGGAATTAGTTGGAACTTTCATAGTATATTACATAAGTGACTTTTCAACTTTTAGTGGTGTAGTTCAAATCTCAATACAGCTAAGCACTTTTTGGTCTATATATATTGTCACAACTAGGAAGCAACAAACCAATTACTTCTACTTCACTTTGGGTTGAGAATCTACATATTAATAATTATAAACTATCAATATCCATTTATTCATGGAATTAATTAGATCATCAAAATCTTTTAGTTTCTCTTCACATTATAAAAACCTTAGAGTAATCTTACCTAGGCTTCGATCAAAGTCTTCAAATTCAAGCCAAAGTTCACCAAGAACTCCAAAATCATCACATATATCGCGACGAAATTCATCTAGAGAAGACGAATTTAGAGAAGTATTTCGTCATTTTGACACCGATAACGATGGTAATTTTTTTTAATGTAGTTGCAATATATATCATCTAAATTTAATTTTTGAGTTTTTTTTTCTTTCTATTGTTACATTAATTTTGTTTTGTTCTCTTCTTACATTAATTTTGTAATAGGTAAAATATCGGCTTTCGAGCTAAGAGCTTATTTTGGATCCATAGGAGAACATATGTCACATGAAGATGCTCAAGAAATCGTAGATGAACTCGATAGGGATGGTGATAATTTCATAGATTTTGATGATTTTAAGAAGTTGTTGATGCAAAAAGAAGGAAGTAGTGAAGAGGATGAATCGTTAAAGTCAGCATTTGAAATGTATGAAGTTGAAAAAGGTTGTGGTCGGATTACACCTAAAAGTTTACAGAGAGTTTTGAGTCGTTTAGGGGATTCAAAATCTTACGACGAATGTGTTACTATGATCAAAGTATATGACATTGATGGTAATGGGGAACTTGATTATCATGAATTTCGCCAAATGATGACGACTTAATCAGAAAAAAATAAATAAAATGAAAGTAGAACAAATATATACAAAAATAAATAAGAGCATGATATTGAATGGCTGAGACAACAAAAAGTAAAGAAAATCTCAGGACTCGGCTTGTCTATAATTAATTGTTCTTCTTATGATTGTAGTTTTGTAACATATTTTGTTTTAAATCCTTCAAAATATTATTTTTGGATACATCTATTGATGATAAATTAGAATTATTCTTTTTGTGGTTCTTGTTCTTGTGCGATGTATCAGCAGCACTTTTTCTAGCGATAGAACAACAAGATTTAATTTATTGGGTAGATTTCATAAATAGCTAGAGTTTGAAATATATGAGTCTCCTTAACAGTAGTTTGAACTAAAGTTTTCTTACTTTCTTTGTATGTCTCGCTGAAAGTTTAATTTCTTATACAAATTAGACTCTTCACTTAATTCATCAGGCAGTAATTGCGGTTATTAAAACTGAAAACAATCCCAAAAGTCACATTATAGAGTTCCTTATCAAAAACTATGACGACTTAATATCTTAAAAGGTCAATAAACTATAGGAAATTATGTAACAAAGTAATTAAATTTTATTTTATATCAATAAAATCACTCAACTTAAATATATACATTTTTCCATTTAAACAAATTTTAGATGACAATTTAAATTATTTTTTATGTCATATAATTATAATTATGAACTCCACAGATAAATAAAGTTATAAAATCTATTAATTTCAAAAGTAACTTAAATCTCAACTCTATGAAACCGAAAAGGAACGGTAAATTAGACCCCATAATACACAGGATGCTTGGCATCAATTAGCCACATGAATAATTAGGATCAGCCACTGCATATATAAGAAACAACAAAGTACGAAAATACAGATGCCAAGAAAGTTAGCAAAAATCTGAGTAATTCATTTTCTCTGAACAAGACGTCGTTTCCGATCGAATTTGTTTGAAATTTGGGCGATACGTTTTCAAACTGATGGCATAGAGCTAGAGAGGGGGAAAAAAAATCGGAGTAGAGTCCATGATTATACGACTTGAAAATAATTTAATTTGTCATTTAAAAATTATTTTATCGATAAATGTAAATAATAGATTTTTTAAGATAAAAATTTAAAGTTGAGTGCTCTTATTAATAAAAAACAAAATTTAGATAATTTCTCATAGTTATAAACATGTAATTAAATCCTGTTAGAATAGAAATAAGAAAAAGAAGGGTATATAAAATTCTACTTGAAAAAGCAGTAGTATATAAAATCCAACTTTGAAAAGGATTAGTATATATAACCCAACCTGAAAAAGGATACTAGAGTGTCTATAAGTAGGAATTATGTAAAGACACAATTCAATAGTAATATTTTTGTTAGGCAATTCAATAGTAAATTAAAACAAGATGGAAGAGTTTGTTGATGTTGCAATTGAAGCAGCTAAGAAAGCCGGAGAGATAATTCGTCATGGATTCTACAAGAGTAAGCATATTGAGCACAAAGGAGTTGTTGATTTAGTGACAGAGACTGATAAGGCATGTGAAGTTTTAATTTTTAATCATCTGAAGCAATGTTTTCCTAGTCATAAGTTCATTGGTGAAGAAACAACTGCTGCTGCTTCTGGAAATTTTGAGCTTACTGATGAACCAACTTGGATAGTTGATCCACTTGATGGAACTACTAACTTTGTGCATGGCTTCCCTTTTGTTTGTGTATCTATCGGTCTCACAATTGAAAAGAAACCAGTGGTTGGTGTTGTTTACAACCCAATCATCGACGAGCTTTTCACTGCAATCTATGGGAGAGGTGCTTTTCTTAATGGGAAGTCCATCAGAGTATCTTCAGAGTCTCAACTTGTAAAAGCTCTTGTTGCTACAGAGGTTGGAACAAACAGGGATAAGGCAATTGTAGATGCTACTACAGGAAGAATTAATAGAGTGATTTTCAAGGTTAGGTCCCTCAGGATGTCTGGTTCTTGTGCATTAAATCTATGTGGAGTGGCGTGTGGAAGGCTTGATCTCTTCTATGAAATTGAATTTGGTGGTCCGTGGGATGTCGCAGCTGGTGCTCTCATAGTCATAGAAGCTGGAGGACTCGTTCTTGATCCATCTGGTTCCGAATTTGACCTAACAGCTCGACGTGTAGCTGCTACAAACGCTCATCTCAAGGACGCTTTTATCAACGCCTTGAATGAATCAGAATGAGAATCATACTTTCATACACAATAGGAATAGGAAGAAGAATGCAATAATTATTTGTACTGTGAATATTGTTATGCATAGATTATTTACTTTAGGAATCTTTGTTGTTACTGGAAAAAATAAATAAGGAAAAATGTATTCAGTAGAAATTGATCCCTGAACCTCCCAGTAAAAAAGTTTTGATTCTATATATTGTTCTTGTTCCTATTCCTATTCTAACACTATTAAGTGTGTGTGTAAACACCACTCACAAGTATCACCTAATTGAAGCTTCAAAAGCTATCTCCACCAATCTGGCACTTTAAGCCTCCGGTTTCTATGTACAGCAAGTTTTACAGCAGGAAGCTTGTGCTTCACTTGCCTCCATAGCATGCTTACAGCATCGCCATTCTTCGGAGGGTACTGGTACTCAAAATGATGTGTAATGTTCTTAAGATATCTCCACATTTCAAGCCATTTTGTTTTAGAAATTCTCTTGAGCTGATCAAGTATGTAGCCTTCTTTCTTTGCATCCTCACGTGAGAAGAAGATAGAGAACTTGTTGTAGTCTATTTCATCCTCATAAGGTAGCTCAATTTTGTCACTCACAATTATAGGGACACAATGACTAACTATAGCATCAAAAAGGCGGCAAGATGATGGGGTATCCCCTGCTGGATCTAGACAAAACTTTGACGAACGCATCCCCTTGGTAGACTGACATAGAAGAATAAACTATCACAGTAAGGAAAAGACAACACAATAAGAGAAGGAAAAGGGGAGGTGAATTTCAAGTTGACTTTACTTTTCTTCAAGTAAATTAAACAAATAACAGGTTACGTGGACTATTCACAAAAACTCAACTGTTAAACTAAGGCAAAAGCTGACAATAAAGAAGAAAAATGAAGGTCGATAATTTAAGCCATTATTCCACAGAGGGATCTGATAGATGTTATACATGATTTAAGAGGAGATACTACAAAATTACTTACTGCATTTACACCTCCCTCGGTGACTCCATTTGCTTCAAAAACAACATCCTTTTGACCACTTAATATTTTTTCCAGCCGCTTACGGTCTTTCCCTTCCTGCAATACGAATAAGATTTAGAAACAATTTTTGTTAGAAAAAAATATAACTGATTTATTTAGAAATTATATAAACATACAGCTTTTCTCTTTGTCTTCCCCCGGAAGAAAAGGAGTGTTGTGCGAGAATCATATGGGTCTGAGAAGTCATCAGCTTCAAAAGTTGCAACCACATGTCCATATGGGGCCACAACATCTTTCCTCAAATTAGACACAGATGGAGAAGGCCGACCAAAATCTGCTACGACGAAGATAGCAGCATTTACCTTATCCCGGTAATGTTTGAAAGCATTTGGATGTTGCATTGGTATCACATGATCTCGACCAGCGGACCTCTTCCAATATTCAGATTTTTGTAAGAAGTCAACAATTTCAGCCTGGAAGAAGAAGCTAAGTCAAATTCAAAAAAAAAGAAGAAGCTAAGTCAATGCAGGTAATAAGATGCAGAAAGGAAGATGGTTATTACCATCCACATAGCAATTCTCTGAAGGTAATAAGGAAATCGATCAAAGCTTGTACTGTTTATGCTACATTAAGGATTTATATTAGCACATCGGTTGCATTGACAAATACAAGAAAGGACCTACCAGACTATCACCAATTTCCAGTTATAACACATGGTGAAGCAGGTAGAAATAGCATAGAATAGTAAAACAGCTAGCAGATAGGACTTGAAGAAATCATAACAAACAATGAATGAGTCTGAATATATAACAGTATATACTATATACAACACTTCTAGTTATTGTAGAGTGTAGACTTCTCTTTACAGTAATAAATATATTCTAAAGTCTAAACCTATACAATTATGGAGGAGATGTAAGTCCAGACCTAAATGGCTAATCAACTGCTGCTGTCTTCGAACTTCATCAAACTTCTACCTGGAGTTAGACACTCAAAAAATCAAATCATTTTCATACCCCTTAAAGCTTATTCAAACTTGTTGTGCTACATTAAGAATTTAAATTAGAAACCCAAACAAATGTTATTTTGTTCTTTTTTGGACTAGTGCATGGTTGCAGGCCCCTTCCTAAAATTTCTTAACTTAAGGTTATATTTCTTTTATTGCTTTTGACTTGTAATAACAAAGGAGGTAAAGAGATCTTTGCGGAGAATCCATATTCAACAGAGTATTCTATATACTAACACATATACATAGACAACACAAGAGCGTTGTTTTGGCAATAATATTCTCCAAGGTGATTACCTTTTCATACATAAATGGCTGAAATTTGTGAAATTGAAAAGTTATCCCTAAGTATTCAAACTACTACTGTTAAATATTATTTAAGCTTTGAGTTGAAATAATTTTATCTAACCACTAAACCTTTTCTTTTTTTCCTTCTCTGAGGACTCGAACAATACTAATTAAACTACTTTATATCCAGTTAGTTGTGACCTGTTACTCTTACCTTTTACATTTTAAACCATTCTTAACCACTTCTCATAATTCTAATCGACCATTATTATGGGGGTCACAAATTCGAGATTAGCATAACATGCCTAGAAGACGATTCTCTGACCAGTGACAAACATGTAGTTTATGAATCAAACCTATGTACAGCTACCAATTTTTCAGCACTCATTCCTTTTACATAACAATAAAGATATCAGAAAAGTGATATCACCTGCAGTTTATCATCAAACTTCGACTGTGTATCATTCCCCTGATTATCATAAGTATCATAGCTCAACGAAGAAAAAAAGGGTACAAAGAACACATCAGCTGAATCCGGATTCAAAACTCTAACCGCCTCTTGCTGCTTCGTTCCATTTTCACGATACAACAACGAAGCCAGCATCCAATACTCCACCGTGTGTTGTCTCCTTAACCCAGTATAATGCGGAAACTCCGGCAGAGTCTCAACCGTAACCGGAGGACCATCGTGATGCGGGCCTTTCAACATTCCAACATTATACTTCATCCCCAAATCGTACATATAAACATTGAGTGGCTGCCGCCGCGGTCGAGTAGCACTGCTGCTGCAGGACGTAGCGTTACTCGGCGGCAGGGATGTGAAAAGCAGAAATTTGGATCTGTAATCAATGGTACGACCACTGTAGAATATAGATGCGAAGATGAATAAAATGAATATTGTGAAGCACACAAAATACTTACTACTCATCTCTTTTTTCTCTTGTTTTTGATGGTTGTTGAGGAATCTCTTCTAGCTGAATGAAGTTTCCACCACGGAAACGCATGAGATGTTGATTATTGAGAAATGGGAAAGAGGAATAAATTATGATCAGATCGAATGAATTGGAAAATGAGAATGTCATGATATATCTATATTTGATCATTTCATACCTATGGCCAACTTCACACTTTGGGTTTTTTTTTTTGTCAAATTTCATTGACAATTTTATTTTATTAGTATGACTTAAAAAGGATCAAATATACTATGTATATTACTCCTTTCATCCGGAATTAATTGTCATATTTTCTATTTTTAGAATCAAACTATAAAAACTTTGATTAACATTTTAAGAAGTATTTTATCATCATATTAATATGCAAAAAATTGTAATTTATAGTACTTTTCATTTAGTTTTAGAATATCTATTTTTTTTAATATGATCTAATTTACCTTAAAAAATTAATCAAATTGACTTTTGATAAGCGCAACATGACAAACATTTCTGGACGGAAGGGATACTTTATTTTATTGAGTTTCATATCTTTGAGAGTGAGTTTTTTAATCTGAAATATTATTTAATGGTTTGTAAAACACAAGAAGTTCATTACACCAAATATTTGTCTAGAAATGCTAATAGGTGTGTTTGTCAATAAAATTGTGGCTTAAGTCGTTTACAACCTTTTAAAGTTGTTCACATCTTTCACATATACATTTCAACTAAAGCTAGTATCTATTGAGCACCTAAATTACTGTTCAGTCTTCTTATACGCTTCAATTTGGTTTTCAAAACTAAAGGGTTCTTTGTCTAATTTTATTTTAAAAAATTAACTAATTAGATCTGCAAAAAGAAAGAAGAGATTAAATCTTTACACATTGGAGTAAAAAGTTTTGTCGACGTTTGTCCAGCTCCATTTCCAGCCACCTCTAAACAAACATCACCACTCAAATTAAAATGTAAAGCCATTTAATTTATAAAAAATAATATGAGAGAATTCAATATATATAATTCATGTCCTCTTGATTTCTCTCTTCTCATCAATTTTGAATTGATTATCCGCCAATAAGTTTTGCTTCTTCATCAATTTTTTCGGTTTCTCTCTGTCTATACATATGTAACACCTCGCAACTAGAAAGAACTAGAAAAAAGTTTAAAATCTGAAAATACTTTTTTTGGAAAGAAAAAGAAAATTTGAAAAATTTCTAAGTTAGGAAAGTGAGTTTTAATCATTTTCAAACGACCATAACTCCGAACTCAGGATAAGTTAAGAGTAGTTCCAGATATGGTTGGAAATCCCTTAGAATATTCTTTACAACTCCACCGAGTTTGCACGATTTTGATATCGTATGAGTGAGTTATGCCTATGGAAAGTTGGGTTGTTGGATTAAGAAAAGTCCAATCCAGATCTGGGAAGGGCAAAGTTGTCTTTTCCTTACCTAATTTAATTAATTCGTTTAGCGATTAAATAGGGGTAAAAACAAGAATTTATTCAATTTAGAAAAAAAAAGAAGAGAATTTACGCTAGAGCTTGGAGAAAGGGGAAGAGAAGAGAAGAAGAAAGAGTGCAAGATTCGCCAAGATCGTCAAAATAACTTGAAGATTTCGTCGGGGGTGATCCCCAAAAAAGTATGTGAGTCTTTCATAACATTGGGTTCGTTCAATCACGTACCAAGCATGTTTGATTTAATGTGATTTCATCCTAAAAAGAATGGATTTTTGAATGTTCTTGAATGTTGTTCTTGAATTGCTTTCGTTCTTGAACATGAGTTGAGATTTAGAAGTTCTTTGATGATCTAGGAAAAATTTGGCAAATTTTTGCCTAAGGAACAGGTTGACGCGACGCGCTCCCATAGAGCGATGTGCACCAGTAGTGCGCCAGAAAGGATCCTCAGTCAAGAGAGGCTGGTGCGGCGTGTCCCGAACGCGCCCGGATCGGTGTTATTCACCCAGTCATCTAATTCAGTTTGATTAAGCCTTTCTAAAGTGTTTTAACACTTCATAATGATTCTAAATACTGTAAATGACTTCTAATCATATAGAAATATTCCAAAACATGAATTACAACATTGAATACATAACTTCAAATTCAAGTAAATTTAGAGCCAAGTCTAAAAGGTTCTTACAGTCCTTTCAAGAAGTCTTTACAAATGCTTTTAAACTTGTTTTAAGACTTAAAGATCATGTTGAGTAAAGAGTAAAGGTAAGAAAAACAAGTTCATTTCAAGTTTCGT